AAGAGAAAGGAAGTCCTCGGAATAAATCGCAACCTCTCAAACGGCGAGGGTGATTGATGGAGAGAGAGGCAAGACCGAACTTAAATTATTTCTTTTAATATTACAATGCAGGCTGCTGCATATGAGAAATGTTAGTAAACAACGTTAACATTTAAGAATTTCTTCAAGGTCCGGACAGAGGTCCTGGAAAATCGTTTGGTTACCTGGAAGAATTAGAACCCGTGTCGCCAGATGAACCTCCAAAGGGCCTCTGAGCGTTTGCCGACGACCAAGTCTAGGTGTTGTCGGAAAGGTAAAAAGTGGCTAGTTGGACAGTTTACGAGCCTTCTAGCGTATAAAGAATTTTTAGTTTGGTATCAGGCATGCAAAAAATGTAAATTGTGATAATAAATGAAGAAGAATTCCGATAAGGGATTTTCCAAAACGACAGAGCTACTTAGGGGCAAAATGAATGAATTTGTTTGTGGGTAGATATAGTCAAATAAAAGATTAAAATATTACGACCAAATTATATCGTGACACGTTCAGGGATAAGCCGGCGCGTTTGCAGACCGTGATTGCCCGTTGACTACTACTAGCTATTAAATAATACTTTTAATATTCTTATAGCAGACCCTAGATGCCCCCCCGAGGATCCGTGAAGTCTGTCCAAAGTGCGACATAACATTTCCATGAAACTATATGGTTTCGTACTTCAAAACTGCGCAAATGTGGGAATTAACTAGAGTGCGCTTAGTTATTATCAAAAAGAGCAGCTTCTTCGAGAAAATGACGACTTTAATAATCTGCTTTGACTCAAAAACAAATTTTGCAAGTGAGGTTGGAGAAAATAATGTTGAGCTATTCGCGCGAGGAATCATTCAAGATTAAGAAGAAGAAGTCCAATTCAAAATAGGTGAAAAACTGCAGCTTGAAGCAATAGCATTTCGAATTTATAGAACTCCACACATACCAAGGTCACGGGTTTGCAGCTTTGCATAGGAAAGCTCTTTAACAGAACTAGTTTGTGCGCGTCCCATATCTCCAGAGGCCAGTTCTCAAACAGGAGGGTCAAATACTGTCTACAAGAAGGAGAAGATGTAAATATAAAAGAAGTTCACGCACAGTCTCCACTTCAACAAATTCTACTAAAATCACAGATGTAAAAAGCATGTTATTCACATTTTTTCAAAATATATAACAATCTCAAGTATTGCTATTGTGGACCTAAGCAAATTACAGCGAGATTTTACCGAATTAGACTATGTGAATGCAGCCCAGCCATAAACACAACCTCCACTTCGGCCTAACACTCACTGTCTGACTGCAAAACTGGTCAGTTGTTGTTGAACGACTTCCCGGAAGTAGTCAAGAGGATCCCTCAAGAGGATCCCTCTATCCCATTCACTTTGCGGATTTTTTCTCATGGACGCAATATGAATAGGACGTAGCTGCTATGCAAACACAGGCCCAATAATATCAGCAGTCTGAATTCAGCCTGCGGCAGAGGCCTGTTTTCTGACTTCAGTCATTAGGTGTCGGGGTTTCATTTCCAGAATTGGTGATCGCTCGTCGAACTTAAAGCTGGCCTGAATCTACTGGGTGAGTCGAGATTCGGAAGCTAGTATCCTTTCACCTAATTGCTAACGGGAGTTCAGAAATTTGCGTCCAGGGTAACCTTGCCGTTACGTTCATATGACATTTCTACATTCATTACAAATCAACTGTTTAATTTATAGTTAACTGATTCTTTCAGATATCTACGTCCATTTTTCGCTTTCCCTAGCTCCCTTATTATTTGTTTTAATCCTCGATCGTGTCCCCTAGCATTGCCTTGCTACTTGTAAGCTTCGAGACTTTAATTTTATATGTACTATACGTATTTTGCTAATCCTCACCCGTTATAGAACCATGTTTCTTCTCTAACCGCAGTTCTTGGTTCTAATTTCAAGTACAAAGTAGGCCAAACCAAGCGAATTGATCTAGACGGACTTAAAGGTAGGTAAATTGACAGAATTGTAGTAGAACGATCTCAACAAACCATCAGTTGGCGGTCGATCGTGCTCTAAAAAAGGGGTATCAAAAGCCTAACTGACCGCAAGGTAAATACGGTCGCTATGTTCTCCCTAGCAGCTCTGGTTTTACGAATAGCACAGGCTGCCACAGAGCCACGAGTATAAATAGTTAAATATGCATACAAAAGAGGGGGGGATAAAAAGCCCTTGGCATACCCCAAATGACTGACGCGCATCAGTCGGATGCACGAGACGTTAGACATGGCCTGATCTGCCAGCTCAGAGGCTACACTGAACCAGCGTCCAACTTTGTTTGCACCCGGACTACCCGTCTTTTGCAGCGCCATCTTCATGGCGCGCAGCTCAAAGTCACCGTCACGCTGGCTGAAGACCTGTTGTTGTTGCCCCGTGCGCAAATCTAGACGCACAACAAAGTTCTTCAGCGGACCCACGGGGGTGGTGCCGGAAGAGACACCGGGGGACTCCATCGTTTGCCAACCGTATACAAAAAGGCAGAGGCCATGAGACTGGTTATCAGTGGGAGTTGGCGATTTGTCGGAAACAGCAGCAGCAGCACCAGCAGCAGTCGCACTAGCTTTGTCTTCTGTGGGAGAAGAAATTGTCCCCCAGCAAACACTGAGAATAGGCACATTGAGAACCTGGTATTCACGCCACATTTTGGCCGTGTGCGCATCCCATATCTGAAACCAGCAAGATGGACAGATGTGTTACAATGCGCGCAATTGGTTATTTTCTCAAC